CTCAAGGATGACAGAGGTGCGGAGCAGGTGAACACAATGACGAGACAGTGAGTAAAAGACTTTAGATTTATTGAATACAGCAATGTTTACTTTTACAAAGAAAACGAACTTTCGAGAAACGGTCGTGACTTGGATCGCAGCAGACTGGCGCGTGCCGTGGTCTATGCTGGTCGGGGCGAGATCCGCGAGTGAGTGACGCGGGCCGCACTGGCCACCTAAAGGTGGGCGCTCCATAGAGCTTTTCTTCCTGAAGATGGCGCGCTCTACCATTGTGCTCGCGGGATAAGCTGTTGTTTCCTGCGCGTTTTTTGTTTTGCGCTTTGGCTAGCGGAAACCGCCACAAACATACATTTGTACTTCAGCACCGTTCGGATGGAGCAGTAGAATAGCTAATTCTTTAAGCACGTAATCATTGCCAGGCTTTTTAAAGCCTTGCATTCCTACGATGTACTCCATTTTATCCTTTCTTCTATATAAAAACCTTAAATTATTGTTTGAATCGTTCATAATTTTCACGTTTAGGAAATGATGATTTATTAGTTGAGAAATTTTCTGTTAAATTTTTCAGCCAAGATTTTTTTATTTCTGTCATCATCATCATTCTTGGTTGAAATTTTTTGATATTTACAATCAGTAGTGAATTTGCTAGTGGTTGGCTTATGAGACATGGTGATCAATAAATATCTTTTTTTAGCAAGTTGTTTTTTTTATTTTAAAGGATTTTACAACATTTAAGATCTTTTGATTTTTGCCTAGCTTCTTTTTTTTCCATTCCTCAGCGTGTCTCTTCTCAAATTTTTTCCACTCTTCTTGCCTTCGCCTATTCTCTTTTTTTTCTCTAGTCCAACTGCTTTGACCCTTTTTCATGGTGGTTAACAGATTAATGAAGTTTGTAGTATCATGCATCGGGTTTTATAGTCTCACATAAGTTTTTTGATATCTCCACTCATGGGACCGTACTGAACTATACGATCATGTAAAATTAAGCAGTAAGCTGATGTATTATTTGGAAAATTCAGATTCGAATTCTTATCACACATCTACGGGAGCATTCTTTAACGACTCATTTTGTTTAGAACAGTCAAGGACAATCGAAAGTACAGCATGTTGAAATTGATATTTGCTCAACAAAGGTGCACGATCTTTACCGTAATACGAATTCTGAAAGTTTGCATACATGTCATATAACAATGCAAAATGATTGTTTGTTATATTGATATTGAGATCATCATAAGGATAATATTATGAATTTAAATACAGTTTTACATTTCTTATATTACAATGATCAAACTGGCTAGCATTAATACCTCTCTGATTTTTACGATTTGTCTGAAAGGCTAGTATAACAAAGCGCGGCTTTTCCAACTGATTGGACGTCTTGACCGTCCATATATGTTTCGATGTAGTAGGTAAAAGTGGATATTCATAAAGTTCCCAAGTTCGATAGCTCATAGATACAAATTTATCTTTTTGCAAATAATTAAGTAGACGATTTTTATGTGCATCTGACATTACAACGTAAGGCATGAGCCATTCTAGTTTTAATATTAACATCTTGAAGTCTTTCCAAGTTGCCACTTCATTAGATTCTGCAGCAGGAATTTAACTTTGTAAAACTTCATTCAAATCATATATAGATCTTGTGAGTTCAAGTTCATGATTCACATTAACAACTATTTTACGATAGTCTTTAGCATAACCAAGAATCATACTGAGAGGAATCAAAAGATCAAAGTAGCCATTATTATTTGTTAGATTAAGTTCATTTGAAGTACCAAGCCAAGCAGCATTTTTAGTTAATACGTCTTGATCAGGATTGAGCGTTGGCCAGTTTTTAATGAGAGTTGTCGAACCTACATTTTTACACTTACCTATCTCTATAGCGTTAACCTCATATCTTATTTCTTCAAATAGATAAAGGATAGCATTGTTTACTAATTTAGTATTTGCAGCCGTCGTAGTACCATCTGCTTTGACTACCCTTCCACGAATATGTAAAGAACTGTGGGATGGTAGCAGGCATAGGTCTTGATGTTGAATTGATATACGAATTTCAACACTATCATTATACGTTAATGATGCATATGGTTGATGAGCATGAATTTCATAGTGTGCGATAGACTCATCAAACGCAACGGGGGACTGAACGCTTAAAATGTCATCCATCTTTAAGGTAAAAATTCGAACGTTAGTTCACACCTTTTATTTTTAAGCCAAGACTTTTAAGAAACTGCATGTTTTGATTTGTCAATTTTTTATGCTTCCGTTGTCCTTTCTGATGTCTCGACGATTTAAAAGCTTGCCGTTGACTGAGCGCAGAAGTACATGTCAAGCTGTTTATATACTTTTTGTGATTATAAATGATACCCATTACGATGAAGGTTTAATGTGTAATCTTATCGTGATGACTTCTCCACAAAAGTTGATTAAATTACCATCTTGATTAACTACGCGTAGTTGTAAGTGATCTATGACTCGTCCAATGACAGGTAAGTAGATTATTTGTGATGGAACTTCAATAATTTTATATCCTGGTGGTACCGCAGGAAAAAATTTATGAATTGTATGAACTTTTTTTCCGTTTATATAAACTCCACTGGTGATGCTGCACTCAACTCGTAATGAGTTAATCTTGAGAATGGATACAGGTAAGTCAGAGTCATGAGTTAAGTTATCTTGTAGTAATCGTTCAGTAAAACCTAGTAGTCGCCCTACAGAATCTTTTGGTCCGAAATCAATAGTATGACTACACCTAACAACACTACGAAGCGTATTATTATTTGGCTTGATACTGATACTTATATCTTTTGATTGAAACACATTGACTAAAAATGACTCAATATCTTCAATTTCATAACTGCCAGTTGGAATAACTACCACTTGATCACCCACGTAAAATTTACTGTTATTTACGTCAATATTAGGGATTGAATTGAATATTAGGAGTTCTACTAAACCAAGAACATATTTGTTTTTTGGTGATAATTCAATAAGTGGAAAATATGCGCCTCTAGGGTGGAAGAAGTACCAGACGAACTAAGTGTTAATGTTTCTTCCATGACCGTCAATATAAAACTGAGATATTTTTTTACTATTTTAAGTGCTTATATATGTTTTAACAAAAACTTTTAGCACAAATGACCGCAGTTGTAAGAGTTAAATTTTTGATATCGTTTGTGATTATACTGAACTGTATCAACACCTCAATACAACATTAAATCAATAGGTGGCAGCAAATCTCCAAAACTGTCATAATAAACAACATTCTGGCCATATTTTCGATACACCACCCAGTGAGTTCTAGGTCCATTCTTGTCGTCAAGATTTACTACAGCAGTTTCACGATACCATGGCCCATCAATGGCTAAGTCATTTCGCATAAATACTCCACGAAAAAAAAAATTTAAACTCTTATAGAATTTTATTAAATCTACATTTGTTAAAGCTCTTAAAGGTTTTTTTTTTTTTTTTTTTTTTTTTTTTTTTTTTCAGACCTTTACCAAATGGTTTTAAATATACTCCTAATCCAGTTTTATGGGGCTTAAGATAGAGACCTTTTCCTAACGCAATAGCTTTTATTATGTCTTTGATTTTCTTCTAGTTGTTTTTTTGCAGACTTAGCAGCGTTAACGCTCTTCGTAGTTTCTACAATATCATTTGTTAAAACGCCAGTTGCACTCAATTTAGCAAATAAAGGAATCAGAGGTAAAGCTCCACCAATTCGAGCAGGAACGCGTAAAATACGAGGAATTTTAATACTTTTTTCACCACCACACTCTCAATTACTTAACTCTTTGCCAAGCTCGCTCAGCTAAAATTTTATCTGCTTTGTTTCTAGTCTCAAAATCGCATCGATTTTTCGCATAAGCTATATCATGCTCTTTGCACGACGCATCCAGAGGATTTACTCCAAGATCACCTCTAGCGAGGCGTTCCGTAAGTTTAGTACCTGGACCACAGTACTGATAACCTGGTAAATGAATTTCTAAAGGTAAAAAATTTATGATTTTATTTACAAGATCATATCCTCGCTTACAGTATGTATGATCATTTCACTTTGAAGGTTGGGTTGTGACTGAGTATTGCGAAAAAAATATTTATACTTATACTCATCAGATCAGTTGCAATGTAGCCGTAGTATAACATAAAAATGCAAAAGTATAAAGGGCAGTATCATTCTATCTCATAGTTCAGTTGTAACTATTACGTTATACAGCACATACATGAAACTTGAAGAACAGTCTGTAACATTGCAAGTTCCAAATTTTTATGCTATTGTAAAACAAGAAAAGCGTGTAAATCGACATGGTGAGCTCCTTCCAGATGGTGTTAGTGCTGTATTTTGTGGTCTATGTAACTGTGGTAAAACCAATAGCTTATTAGCATTTTAGTACAAATTGCTTACTTTTATTAATATTTATTCATTAACATCCTAACAGATTGAAATTCGAAAATATATACGTTATGTACATTTAAAGTCATTAAATCAACCCTAATACAAATTTTTAAAAGAGCTATTAGAACCTATAGATGGTGTGAAGTACTTACCTTTCATTGAACGCGAAGCAGTAGTCTCGCCAGATGATGCCTTACCAAATTCTATTATGATTTTCGATGATATAGCTTGTGAAAAACAAGATAATGTAAAAGCCTTTTTCTGCATGGAAAGTGGAAAGACATAAAAGTGTAGACTGTTTTTATCTTTGTCAGTCATATGCTCAAGTACCAAAACATCTTGTGAGAGACAACGTAAATTTTTTAGTTTTATTTCGTCAGGATGAAGTTAATTTGAGACATGTGTATAATAATCATGTAAATTCAGATATGCCATGTACTAAATTTAAAGAGTTATGCTCTAGCTGTTGGAATAATGATCGGTATGGATTTGATGTAATAAACAAGGATGTACAGATAAAAAATAGTCGATATAGAAAAGATTTTGACAATTTTGCTTTAAATGCAAAAATTTGTAGTCCAACAAAAGCCATTAAAGCTTCAACATGTATGAAGGAGAAAAAGACGTACTTAATCAATTAGTAAAGGCAAGAGACGCCGTGAAAAAAAAGTACAGACAGTTAAAGTTTGGAAAAGATGAAGTTGAAAAAGTTCTAAGCGAAACTTTTAAACCAATAACAGATCCTTTACAGGAAATTGTTACTACAACCAAGAAAAATGAAAGAAATTCATCTGTAATCTATAACTACTTAAATAACCATAAAAATAAATATGTTACGAAAGCAAAAACTGAAGAACCACCCAACGATGAAAATAGCACGGTGTTCGAGTCTGCTGTCAGTGAAAGTAATGATAATATGAATAGAGATCCTGATGAAATGAATAAAACTATTCAATATATGACTAATAATGTTGAAATCAATGAAAACTTATCGAGGAACTCATATTTGCAAATGCTTGATAATGATAAAAAAAAGTTATTGGATTTGATGTATGGGGTACGAAAAGAAAATAGAACAAATAAACTTGGGAATTTACCAATATGTTTTGATAATAATAAAATTACAATGGACAAACTCGAATTTCCAATGACTGACGGATTAATGGAGCTACTAATAAAAAAACACCCGAATAAAAATCTTACAACTGAAGAGGATATGCAAAAATATTATATGCTTTTAAAAATTTTGAGTGTTCATAGAAGAGGAATTAATAAAAATGAACCTATTTGGCAACATAATAGTCATAAATTTAATAAAATTATTGCTCCTATGTTCGACGGCGTTCCAAGTAAAACCGGAGGATCATTATTACCACAATACAAAATCGCCCGAAAAACGCAGCATGTAGATTACGTGCACTGGCCCAACGAACTTGTAGATCGTTTACGATTACTCACAGCTGAAAGATCGGCAGGAAATTCAAGTCATGACAAATAAATAATATCAATTATTGAAGAGCTACGCGAGGCATGGTATATATATTAAGGTGAGCAGTCATTTTGTTTCAGTATCACAATGAGTGTTGATGTATTTGGTCGTAAACTNATATTTATATATATGTATTAAGGTGAGCAGTCATTTTGTTTCAGTACCACAATGAGTGTTGATGTATTTGGTCGTAAACTAGGTAGGATTAAAGGCGGTACCCAAGGTCCTCCTGAGGTCGGATACAAACTTACTACAGATGAACAGTATGACTTAGATAATAAAAGATTGTGCAATGTTGCAGCACCGAAATAACCTCGAGATGCTGTAAATCGTGCTTACTTAACTGAAAAAATTATAAGTATTGAAAAAGAAATAGATAGCATTCGAATTTTCATATACAATTTACCAAAAAAATTCCCATTTATTCAAGCTGATTCAACAAAAATAAATTTAGACATTCATCACAGGAAACGAGTTGTCGAGGAACTTCACAAGGCAGCAAGACGTAATTATCCTCGTCGAAAACTTGACGTGCGTGGCTTAGATCATACTTGGCAAGCGGACCTTGTCGAGATGCAGCCTTACGTTAGTAAAAAAAAAGGTTATAGGTATATACTTACTGTAATATATGTTTTTTCAAAGTATGCATGGGCTGTACCGATAAAGAAAAAAACAGGTGAAATAGTGTCAACAGCGATGCAGTCTATATTAAAGGACGGAAGGGTGCCAGTAAACTTGTAAACTGACCACGGCAAAACTTGTAAACTGACCAGTTCTACAATTTTAAGTTTCAAAATTTAATGCAAAAATACAAAATAAACTTATACTCAACCTACAGCAACCTCAAACAATCTGTATGCGAACAATTCAATCGTACTTTAAAAGACCTTATGTGGAAACAATTTAGTTATAAGACAATTACAAATGGTTTCATGTTCTACAAACGTTGATTGAATTATATAATAATAGAAAACATCAAATAATTGGTATGAAACCAAAAGGTGTTACTACTGAAAACGAAATTCAAGTCCTGACAAAATCAAAAAAAAGATGCAAACGTAGCAGCAAACCAAAACCAAAATTTATAGTTGGTGATAAAGTACGCGTGAGCAAAATAAAACAAGTATTTGAAAAAAGCTATACTCCTAATTGGTCACAAAATTATTTACAATCACTCATGTAGCAGGAACAAATCCAACTAAGTATCGTCTCAAAGATTATCAAGATCAACCTATTTCCGGAGGTTTTTATCAGCAGGAACTGCAAAAAACAAAAAATCCTGATATTTACCTGGTGGAAAAGTTCTTCTAATTTTTTTCGATTATTTTCGATTATTTTGAACCGTACCTTCATTATTTTCATGATTTCACCTGCCCTTATTTTTAACTCCTGCTGCTTTAGCAAGATTTAGACTCTCATTTCCAGTTCTTTTTTATCATCTTCTGTCCATTCCTCAATATTCTCTGGCAGCGGTCGAATTGACAATGGTGACTGCTGCTGCTGCTGCTGCTGCTGCCGCTGATGTGATGATGCTGGTGGTAGTGTTGGTGATGATGGTAGTAGCGGTGATTGGTAGTGTCAGAGCTGGTGGTAATGGTAGTGTTGATGATGGAGGAGTTGTCCGTGGTTGCTTGTACAGCTCCATCCACTCGCTCCATGATGTAGGAGATGGTAGTGGTATTTCTCTTATTTCTATTTTTTCTATTGTAGGTTGCATTAGAGGGACATCTTCTTCTTTTGTTGCTGGCACTTCTAATTTTTCTTCTGATTTTGTTCGATTTTGATGAGGTAGTTCGTCGTCTTTCTCTTCATCAAAGAGCCACCATAAAGGACCACTGATTGAATTGGTGAAACTAGTGCATTCTTCTGCATACTTGGTCGAAGACATCTTCAAATACTTAATACTGGCATCTGCTCTGTAAAAAAATTTTTGAGTTTAAAAGTGATGTTACATTATGAGGATGTAAAATTGGAAAAACTAAAAAATATTAAAAAATACCTTTTTCTACCTTTTTTGTTCCTTTTTTTCTGCTGATCGATCTTTAGACCTTGATGTTGAATTTTGTCCTGAATGATAAGTCCATGTTGTCTTGACCATCGTAATGCAGTAAAAAAAAAAAAGTAGGAATACATTAACGAACACTGCATTCTGTATTATTTACAAAAAAAAATACTTTTTTTCTATTTGAGACATGGTTGAAATTTATAGTAAGAACATCATGACCGCAGTAGAAAGTGAAAACAGTCTTTCACAATAAGTCGTAGAAAGAGAAAATAATAGCAATCATTGTAATACAGATATCTTACCTTATTTGCTGCTGGATAGGTCTCGTGGGATACTTTAGTCTTTGTAACTTTATAGCACACTGCTTGCTACTGCTTATTGTCGTAGCTGATGCTGATGCAGGTACCAGAGTTGTGTCGAGCTAAAACGAACAAAAATAATTTAAGTTTGCAAAATAAACAAAAAAATTTAAGGGCAGTGTGAATGAAACATATGTAGTAGATGTAATGAGTTACGTGAAAGGAAAAGTAATTTTCACTTTTAGAATAAAAATAAATAAACGGTGAATGTGCCAGGAAAAATATTTTCACTCAGAAAATTTTTTTTTAGTAATATAGTTTTAGTTGAGCGCGTGTAAGAAAAAGTAGAAAGTAATTTATGAAAAGCAGTTGGTATCAAAAGTATGTAGATTGATATAGTAAACTATGAGAAAAAATATTTTTAGTTTGAAAAAAATTTTAGTAGCTACAACAAAATGTGTCGGGAAAAAATATTTTCAGTACAAAAAGTTTTAGTTAAGCTAGTATAAAATAATTTTAGAAGTTTAGATTTGGTTAACTTTGAAAGAGAAAAATATTTTAGGATTTTAAAATCGAAGCACTCTCACCTTTGTTGCGATAAATCACGTACAAGAAAAGTAAGAATAATTTATTAAAGGCAGCTTGTATCAAACGTATGTAGATAGATATAATAAACTATGAGAAAAAATATTTGTAGTTNGTATGTAGATGGATATAATAAACTGCGAGGAAAACATATTTTTAGTTAGACAAAAAAAAATTTTAGTAGCTTAAGTAAAATGTGTCAGAAAAAAATTATGAAAAATATTTTCTCTACGAAAAATTTTTCAGGGAGATAGTTTTAGTCAAGCGAATTTGGGAAAAAGTAGAAACAACTTTAGAAATACAGATTTAGCTAACTATGTAAGGGAAAAAAAGAAAGATTGTATGATTTTAAAATCGAGGCACTCTTACTTTTGCTGCGTCAAATTTATAGACCACTTCCTTTACTGCTGCTTCTGTTTTGGCTACCGTTGATATTCCTTTTCCTTCTGGAAGTGAGCTCCTTGTTTACTGTTTTCCTCTTTCAGACTTGTTGCTCCCTTGAATGCTGTTGTAGAAGTGGGAAAATTTATTTTGCCACTCGAAGAAAATCAAGTGCATGACTAATTTGCGTACATACACATGTATGCATTAGGTGGGGGGGGTGTATTTTGGATGTGCAATTTTCCCTACTCATAAATTTTCGCACAATGATGGTCCAATGGCTGCAAAACGCAGTTTTCCCCTAATCATGAATTTTTCTATGTATAATGCTGTTTACATTTGAAGAATGTGATAGATACAGTCATAATTGTATCCTTTTCTAATGCAATTTTCCCTTTATTATGGATTTCTGCTCAATGATGGTCCAATAGATGCAAGACGCAGTTTTCCCCTTTTTATGAATTTCTATATGTATAATGCTATTTGCATTTAAAGAAGAAAGATAGTAGCGGACATAATTGTATCCTATTCCAATACTACAATTTTTCGGCGTAGCTGTTCGACTGCCTATTTAAATGAGGTGTCATTCCCTCAGAAATTCATTCATTCATCGACATGGATTCTCGCCAAGTATCTTTTACACCGACGGAGCGTTTGGAAATGGAAATCTTCAAGCAGTTGTTTGAGTCTTCACTAATCACCAACTCTCAGAATGCAGGACGAGTCGTCGCTGACCATCTATTGCTACTGCAACCACATAACTCTCAGGATGCAGGGCCGCTCATCGCTGATCGCCTTTTTCCATCGCTGCAAGTTGAAGAAGAGCTGGGTGAATTAGTTGAATATTTGCAAAGTGATGAACGCAACGACGATGATTTGTTTTGGCAGAGATTGGCCACGCACCCAATATCGCCGTTATTACTCGGTGGAGTCTTTCCACTGATAACACCTGTAAGTCCTACTCCTTTATTTACGGAGGAGTTCGATGAACAGCATGAAATCGCTAGACGTCAGACATCACCGCTACCTCCTGAACTGCCGCCCATAATTGACCTCACGTGGCCACCGATGAAAAAATCAGCGGTATCAAAGGCAACGTTGCCGAATGTTGACCCTATACCACCAGTAATACTAAATACACTTTTGCCGTTGATATCACCATCAAGCCCAACTCCTTCATTTACGGAGGAGTTCGAAAAGCAGCATTCTAGTCATCGGGCAACATCACCGTCACCACCACCTGCATCACCACCAATAATTGATTTTACATGGTCACCGGTCAAACAATTGGTGATGTCCGAGGCAGCATCGCCAATAGTTGGCCCGAATAGTAAGGTACCGCAGCCTCTGGATTTATCAACTAAAAACTTCAGTTAGCAGGATAATATGCCATCACCATCACCACCACCAGTTGAACTTAAAAACTCGACAACCGTCAACAAAAAAAAGAAGAGGAAGAGTAGCATCAATGGAGGGAAGAAGAAAAAAAAAGTATGTCGAAGTATTATATACAAATTAAATCTTATTAAAATGTTATACAACAAATATTTTTATTACTCGAAAAATAAATGGTAAAAAAGTTAAATAAAATTTGTTTTTAACGAAACTTATTACCTTATGATTTAAAAATTCCATTCTTGTCCCATTCGTGTTCGTATCTACTCAGATGAACCCTCTCTTAGTAATAAGTATTGGTTGTACTGCACGCGAAAGAGCGTTTGGCTGAGACACTTCGGTCATAAATAAAAGATAGTTCTGGCTGCTGATAAACCCTATACAGGTAAGTGTATCGTTGGATCTCTTAGTTATACGTAGAAAGGTAATAGTACAAGATAACTCCTACTGCTGATTTTACTGCTGCTACTGCTGTTTGTAAATTTTATTTCTGCTGTGCGTAAACAGTCCACTAATAAAACAAATTATACATAGGCCGGTAGTCAAATTTGAACCAAGGACCTGTTGATACACAAACAAGATAATTCTTGTGATGTATTGCGTAAGGTGAGGTAATTCAATATAATAGATATATAATCGGTAGGTAGGAATGTATTTATTGCTTATGATAAAAGTACAGCGAGTGCCAAGTAAACATCTTACTTGTAGGCAGGCCAGAACGAGACTGGCTTATCGCTCCAAAATCGCTTACAAAGCTCATTCAATTTTAACGCCTACTCATACACGCATACTCATCATATACAGATATCACAACTCTTCCCCTTTTTATTCATGAGTCGCTGGGAACGGCGTAAACCCGGCGTTTTGTCGCGTTTGATTAATTGATCCACATGACGCTTTTGTATGTTGTTTTGATCGGTTTGAACCAAATATGTGGATGGCGCAAGTTGTTTAACTATTTCGCCGTTTACGCGTTTTTCACCTCGCACGCCAAAATTATCTAACAACACATTATCTCCTACTACAAGATCATTCTTACGAGATCCCGGTCTTACCAGAGTTTGCGCTCTCTGTTGATTTTCTACTGTTTGACAGACGCTTGGTTTTAAGAAATCAAATCGTGTTCTTAACTTGCGCTTGTACATCAAATACGCCGGGCTTGCTCCTGTAGTACAATGAGAGATACTGAGATAATCGAATAAAAACTTATTTACAGCTGTTTCCAGCGTTTCTCCCCCCTTCACAATTTTTACTACTTTATCTTTAAATGTTTGCACAAAATTCTGCGCTGCTCCATTTGTAGCAGGATGGTAGGGTGGAGAAAACATATGTTTAACGCCGTTGCGTTTTAGAAAATTTTGAAATTGTGGACCTTCATCCGTAATACAATGCGATGGAAGAACATGACGCGCAAATAATTCTTTCAAAACACCAATAACTTGTATATATATAATAAGTACATATTACCGAAAAATGGACCTGCAAAGTCACAATGTATACGACTCCAAGCTTTGGTGGGCCAGGGCAAGGTCATAAGTGGGGTGTGCGCGGGTTTTTTTCGTTCAATTTGACAAATTTTACAGTTTTTAACCATCTCTTCGATCATATTATCTAATCCTGGCCACCAAACATAGGAACGCGCGTAC